GTTTGTCCTCACAGCCCTTTCTGCTCCTTGTGCAGATGCCTACTCCCTGTCGGTGAGGGACAGCAACTCCGTGCACGGGGACGTCATCAAACACTACAGGATCCGCTCCCTCGATGGAGGGGGGTTTTACATCTCCCCCAGGATGACCTTCTCCAGCCTGCCAGAGCTCATCCATCATTACAGCCGTAAGTTGGTCRCCTTTCCTCGTGGGTTTGTGTCCTGGAAGAGGGCAGGGACAGAGMGGGGACAGGCTTGGGGGACAATCACAGCTGCTCCAGACACTTTCACAAGCCAGGTGTGCTGCTACAATCAAAACCCATTTCCATCCTGGGGAATTGCAAGGKTGAGTTCTGCCCTAAAATCAGGGAAGGTCTCCCCTCAGGAGAGGGAAGAGGTGAATACTGTCAGGTTATGCAGGAGGGATGTGTGGGAAGCAGGGTTTGGACAAACTGGGCAGGATCATTTGCTCCTCTGTGGCTCCCTGTGAGCTTTGACTTTCATTGGGTCTATTTTGGGTGCCTTGATCCCTGTGGCTGAAACATTTCATGGAATCAGAGAATTATGTAGCCTGGAAAAGCCCTGCAAGCCCTGCAAGCCCCTTTTGACTCCAAAACATGGCCAAGGCCACCGCTGAGCCACGTCCCCAAGTGCCACATCCATGTGGTTTTTAAATTCCTCCAGAGCTGGGGACTCCCCCAGTTCCCAGTGTGGCTGTGGAGGTTGATTTTTCCTGGCTTGTGTGGATGAAGGAGGAAGTTTTCCCTGCCATTCCACTGAACTGTGTTCTGCTTTGTCCTCTCCCAGAGAAAGGGGATGGGCTGTGCCAGCGCCTCACAGCTCCCTGCACATCCCTGGTTCCCCAGAGACCCTGGGCACAGGAYGAGTGGGAGATCCCTCGGGACACCCTGAAGCTTGTGAAGAAGATGGGCAGCGGGCAGTTTGGGGAAGTGTGGATGGGTAAGTGGAATTCCCTCCCCATTTCAGGAAAGAAAAATGTAGGGAAAGCCCTTTTTCCTGAAGGCAAGTCTATTCTGGGAGTGGGGATCCTCAAGGATGGAAATATATTTATGGGCACAAATGCAGCAGTGGCTGCAGGATTCCTAGAAAGGACTKGACAGCTCAGGTTTGCTCAGATCTGTGGCAGAGCAAGGTTTTCACAGGAGCTGGGTGCTGGAGTGATGATTTATTCCTCTCTTGGGAAATGCACCCATTCCTCCTGGGAATCCTGGGCACGGCTCTAGGACTCTACGTCACACCCAGCAGAGTACCTGGGTGACACTTTCCTGCTTTTTCTGCTTGTCTGTTCTGCTTTATCCCCAGCTCTCCATCCCTCGTGCCTTCCTGCTYGCTGTTAATCAGCAGCAGAGGGAGTGGGGGAGCTCAGCTTCATTATCACCCTCTTTGCAGTTGATTTTGCCAGAAATTGAGATTGTGGACAGTGATGCCTGAATCTGGGTACCTAAAATAGAGGCTGGACAGAATTCAGAGAATCAAAAGCAGTTCTGTTTACTGAAGGGCCTTCAGGGGCATTCAGGGCAGTCCCAGCTCAGCCAGGGGCTGCACCCACAATGGACAATGGCTCACGGGTTTTTCACCCTTTCTCACTTTTGTCCATTTGCACAAAATCGGGGCTGAATCCTCCAATTGCAGCTCAGCCAATGCAGTCATTCACTCCAGGTTGGCTCCCCCCAATTCTCTGTTGTTTCCATCTCTTGGGGCCTGGCACAGGGAGGTGTCCTTGAGTTTGGGGCTGCAGAGGAATTGTTTTGTGTAAAAATGGGAGAGCAGAAGCTCAGCACTGTCTGTGTGTGGAGCTAAACACTAAAGAATTACAGTGTTACAGAGACATGGAAATATAGAAAATAAAATCCTAAGTCTGAGTTCATGTCCTGGCTGCACAGCCCTGCCTTTTTGGGTGGCATTTGGGTTATCTGAGAGCCCAGCTGGTTGGAGACCTCGGGGGTTTCACCCAGAAAGGRTCTGGGAGGGTTGTGTGAGGATGGGCTCACTGCAGGGACAATCCCTGATGCAGCCCCATGGATTGAGGGCTGTCCCATGAGTGTCCCTTCTCACACCTGTTGGCACTGGGATTTACCCCCTGTTTTTTAGGAGGGATTCAAGCTGTTCCTGTGATTTTCTACCCTGTGAGCTCTTCTTCTCTTGGTTGTCCAACCCCTAGAGCCTGCAGAGAGCCCAAAATTCMTCAAAGCATTGTTCTCTCTCTGCAGGCTACTACAAGAACAACGTCAAGGTGGCTGTGAAGACCTTGAAGGAGGGCAGCATGGATCCTGACGCCTTCCTGGCAGAGGCAAACCTGATGAAGAAGCTCCAGCATAACAAACTGGTGCGGTTGTACGCCGTGGTTACCCAGCAGCCCATCTACATCGTCACAGAGTACATGGCCAAAGGTAAAAACCCTCCTGGAGCTCYTGGCTGAGCTTCTGCAAAACCAGTTCAGTGAGCTGACCAGTGCTCCTGTGCATTACCAGGGTGGGCAGGAAGGGTTTGTACCAAATCTGCGAACAGAAGGTCTAAGAGACCCAAAAATTTGTTTATAACATGGAAAAATTCTTTCTGGGTGATGAAGAAACTGAATCAAAAGCTACTTCACAAGGTGATGATGCTCTGTTTGAAGAGTGTTTGAAATTCCCCTCTCCATTGCTCTCACTGGAATTTTATTTCAGGTTTTTACTCCCCTGGTGGTGAAATAGTCCCTTTTTTTCTCCCCTCTCGTCTGTGACACTTCGAGTGACAAATGCCCAGTGGTTTGCTACAGATCTGTGCAAAATAGAAGGGAATTTGGGCAATTTGGAAGCTTTCCTAACGGAAGATGCTCCAGTGGTCACTTGTTCTAGTTCCTGGGATTTTTTCCTAGGATGGAGGCAGATTTGTTGCATATATTCAGAGAAGCACCAGGGAAAACAAATTTATATGTTCTTCAGAAGAGTTACAGCCGTGCCTCCTCTCCTGCAGGGTGTTTGCTGGATTTCCTGAAGACAGACGAAGGGAGCCAACTGAAGCTCCCCAAACTCATTGACATCTCTGCTCAGGTCAGTGATCAGCAGCTGGGAAAGGGATCCAAGGTTTGTTGTTTCCTCAGTTAAATTCTTGCAAGTCKGAAGTCAGCCAGAGCAAAGATTTTCTGGAGAAAAACAGCTCCTCCTGGTGTGTCCTCGTAGGGATTCTCCTCATCCTTTTTGTGTCCATGTAAATGTCAGCTCTGTCCCCAGAGCAGCCCTCTGATAGCTTAGTGCAGTGCTAAAGGTTTAGTTTATAGGGTTTTGGGGGGTGTGTTTTGGTCTGATTTTATTTATTTTGCTTTTTTTGCCTTGTTGAGCAGTAAAGAAGGCTTTGTTTGGTTGTTGGGTTTTTTTTTTATTTATTTATTTTTTTTTATTTTTTTTTTTTTTCTTTCTTACCAACAAAGGAAGAAAAAGCTCAACAAAGAGACTTCCAGTGCAGGTCCAGCAGTTCTGTCCTTCTGATGATGAGGCATAAAAGATGTTCTGACCCTCAAATCTGGGAATATTGCTCTCTGTGAAAACAAACTTCTAACTTTTAAGCTTCCCCAGGCTGCAAATCTTAATGGCTGCAGCTGCACCGTAACATTTTAGTCCACAAATGCCTCTAAACACAAATAGGGCAAAATTAGGGGAGCCACAAAAGAATAGGAAAGGCAAAATCACTGCACTTTGGTCCCAGACAGCTGTAGACAGAGTTTGGCTCACCCAGAGCAGAGTTAGGATAATTAGGAAATATTAGTGGAAAAACTCATGGAGTATCAGGATGAATAAAACTGAATAAAGAAAAGTCTGGGATTTATCCATAAGATCACTCAGCCTTTCTGTCAAAGTGGACCTGAGGAAACACTGTGTAAAGGTTTGCTGTTTCCAGCCATCACAGAGAGTTACTTTTTAATGAATTAATAACTGGGGAAACCTAATATTTGAGGAAATGTTTTATGATAGCAAAAGACTTTCCTGCTTGCTTTATAGAACAAAAATATTTAAATACTTTAAAGCAGTGCCACCTTCTGTCATTTTTTATTTGAATTGTCCATAGGGGTGCAGAAGAACCTGTTTCTGTTCCTTCCCTCTTCACTACTGATGAATTTTCCATTTCTACAGCTTCATTATTGATGTCTGTGAGATRTTAAGGAGACAAATCCACCCTCATTACTTCCCTCCTTCTCTCTTGAGCTCCCCACTTCCCTCCCTTCGTTTTTCACTGTATCATTCCCTCCCCTGAAAATTACAGCCTGTGGTTTGTTTGAAATTCCTGAGGACAGAGAAAATGATCCCAAATTAATCCATGTTACAGAGCCTTTGTGTTTAGTGGGAGCATTCCCCAGAAATTGGTTTGGTGCATTTCTGTGCAGGAGGAAATTGCTGCAGCCCGAGCAATCTGTGGGTGAACCAGAGCGAGGATTTTGGCCAACGCTACAGAATCTTGGAATCACAGAAYGGTTTGGGTTGAAAGTAACCTGAAAAATCATCTCATTCCAACCCCTGTGCCATGGGCAGGGATACTTTCCACYATYCCARGGTGCTCCAAGCCYTGTCCAACCTGGCCTTGGRCACTTCCAGGGATGSAGGGGCAGCCACAGCTTCTCTGGGCACCMTGTGCCACACACCAGGAGCAGGATGATGGATCACAGACCAAACCCCCACACCCCAGTGATGGAAAACTCACAGAARTCACCCTCAGCATGGGGTAGGAAGGATTTTGCCCATCCCTGAGTCATCAGCATCAACTGGAAGAACAAATTTCATCCTTCCCCTCCCACCCCAGTATCACATCCCCAGGGCAGGGACACAAACATTCTCTGAGGATCTCTGTGGGTAGGATTAGCAGGAGGARGAGGGAAAGGGCAGTGCACTGAGCTATTTTGCAATCTGTTTATCTGTGGTGTTGGGGTGACATCACAGCCCAACCAGTGCCCAACCTCTTGAGCGCAATTTTGGTGTGATGACATCTGTGAAGGTTAAAATTAGAACAKTCTGGGCCAGCACACTCAATCCTGTGGTCAGTCTTGAGGGTAAATGCTTGAAAACACTCTGAGCTGGAATGGGCCGAGCACCAGGCCCTATCTCATTAAYATCAGGACAGGAAATTACATCAATTCTTCCATTTTCCACTGCAGCAGGCAGCCCTTGCAGCAGAGGGGTTAGAAAGTACGTGTGAGTATCCTGTTTGAAACCACATGTGACTTCAGARCCCCACGTGAGTCTTGGAGTGGAAAATTGCTCTGCCCTCTCCCACTTTAAAGCTTTAATTGGTGCTACCCCTCGCTGGCAGGGGCTGCACAGACCCACTCACCTTCCTGATAAATGCCCAGTCCAAGTCTGAGRCTCAGCCTGGCCATCTCTGTTTTCTGTCAATCTCCCTTTTCAAACCCCAGCACTCATCAATGAAATGTTGCTGCTGTTAATCATAGAGGTTCATCACACACCAGYTACCTCRATCAGATGTTGGGAARGAATTCTTCCCTGTGAAGGTAGGGAGGCCCTGGCACAGGGTGCCCAGAGAGGCTGTGAATCCCTGGAAACGTCCAAGGTCAGGTTGGACAGGACTTGGAGCAACCTGGGATGGTGGAAGGTGTCCCTACTCATGGCAGGAGTGGAATGAGACGACCTTCAAGGTTCTAAGGTCCCTTCCAACAATTCTATAATTCTATGATTTGCTGGTTTGGGTTTTTTTTGTGGTTTGCTTTTTCCCCCCCCTTTTTTAATTCACATATTTAACCTGGAATGTTTATGACTGAAATCCCCACTGGAGAGGAGAGACTTGTGGCAGAAACTGGGAATCCAGTGATGTGGTTTCACCTTTCTGCAYCTCGCTGCAGACACGACCCAGGGCTGTGACTTCTGAGCAAAACAGAGGGCAGTGCTTCTGTTCTGCTTCTCTTGGCTGCTCAGAGCCTGGTAAAACTGACTATCTGCTAACTGACTACCTGAACATGARGAATATCTATTTATTTACCCATATTTGGTCCATCTGTCCATTCATCCATTCATCCACGGTCACAATTTGAGCAAATCTGCACAAATTCTCCGCTCTGCAGGGCTGGGTGAGGAGCAGCCAAGATAAAATGGGGAGGTGATGATGATGATGATGATGATGATGATGATGATGATGATGATGATGGTGATGATGATGATGATGATGATGATGATGATGATGATGATGATGATGATGATGAGGGGCTCTTCCTCCCCTCCCAGGTGGCAGAGGGCATGGCTTACATCGAGCGCATGAACTTCATCCACCGCGACCTAAGGGCCGCCAACATCCTCGTCTCGGAGACGCTGTGCTGCAAAATCGCCGATTTCGGCCTGGCCAGGCTCATCGAGAACGAATACCTGGCACAGGAAGGTGGGTGCCACTCACTGCTCTGCCCTCATCTCCCACCCTCCTGGCTCTGGGAATGCCAGGAAACCAGGCTGGGATCAGGGAAAGGAGGGCAAAGCACCTCCTTTTCTGCAAGAGGCAGAAAAACAAAGACACCCAAAAATCCACTCGTAGCAGAAGCACTTGGGGACTGTAAAATCAACAGAGAATTGCAGAGGGAAATGGGAAAAAGTCTTTTGGCTCTGTTTTGGGGAGTCCTGCTGAGCCTCAGGTTTGTTTAGGGGTGAAATTTGACCTCTGGCTGCCTGTGCCCATGTTTTCCCAGGGATTCAGCCCAGAGGGAAGCAAAAACAGAATGATTCAGTCACTGCACTGCAGAGGGGAGCTGGAGCCACAAATCTGGACCCAGWGGCAGCTTCCAGGTGCCCCAGGCCAACCAAGCCCTGACCACATCAAATCCCTTCCACAACTTAGAGAATATTAAATCACAGAATCCTTTCATTTAGAAAAGACTTCTGAGATCATCTCTGTATTGAGCTCTGACTCTGAGGGTGGGTATGAGATCAGRTCATTCAGATGGCAAAGAGATTTTATAGAGACAGCATCAGGGAAAGCAGCAAAAGTGATCAAAATAAAACAAGTTAGGCATAAGCGGCATTTATCAGAAAATTTTCACATTTTGGAAATCTGTCCTCCTCTAGAGCTGGGATGATATAAAATTCCCCCCAAATTTACTCTGAGGAAAGGAAATTAAATAGTTTTTTAGGGTTTTGTAATAAGCTAAGAAAGATTTCTTTCAATTTCCTGTCCCCAAAACACTTTTTGATGCAAATTATACTCGTTTCAACACGCAAAACTATTTCAGAGTAGTAAAAGATCCCAAAAGTAATTTRGAAACTGTCATGAAGGGGAACTTTGCTGCAAATTTTTACGGCAATTCAATCCTTAAGAGAAGCTTTGATGAAATCAGTTCAATTCTGTTAATAACCAAAGGAGCTCCTTTTCCAGCAGCTCCTATCAGCGTTTCCCCAGCTCACTTTGCTCTGGAATAACAGCTCCCCTCTATCTGCTCTGAGAAATTCTCACTTCATGGATTGCATTTCCCAGCCTTGTCACTCAGAGTGTGATGTGCAACAACTGAGGCGCTTGTTTCACACCCTGCAGTTGGATTTTTGGCCCTGCAATATATTTATAAATAAAAATGTGGTTCCCTCTGCAGTGTAACATGATCACTTCCCACTTATCAAGGTGGTTTGGTTTGGCTGATAGTTGTTTTTTCTTTTTTTTTTTGTTTTAGCTAAGCTGAAATTGCAAACTTATGGTCATTGCTGTCCACAGTGGTTAAGCAAAAACCTGGTGAATTAAATAAAAGAGGATTTATTTTGGTTTTAATAAAAATACACAGTTCTAAGAGCCAGCAAATTTATATTTCCTGTAATATTTATGCATTTTTGATCAAAACAACCCCTTCTAATAAGTGATTTCACAGAATCTTAGAGCACCAAGTTGGAAGGGGACCTCAAGGATCATCTGATCCAATTTTTCTCAGCAAAAGCCAAAGAAATTGCATACAGACTAAAGCCCTGCTGCTGTTATCCTATAATAAATCTGATAATAATAAATCATATGTATAATAAATCATAATGTATAATAAATCAAAACATTGATTTGGAATATTCCATCTGGTTCTGGGATGGAGCAGGTCCAGAGGAGGACATGCAGATGATCAAAGGGCTGGATCCCCTGTCCTAGGAAGAATCACAGAATCATAATTAACAACTCAGAGAAACCAGGGATCAGTTTTGGGATATTCCTTGTGAGAGGTGAGGGAGATGCTCTGACTCCAGCATCTGGAGTCAGATTTTTTTCCTCTGGACAGGTGCCAAATTCCCCATCAAATGGACTGCTCCAGAGGCCATTAACTATGGGGTTTTCACCATCAAATCTGACGTGTGGTCTTTCGGGATCCTCCTGACAGAGATCATCACCTATGGCCGGATCCCTTATCCAGGTACAGAATCCCCTACCCAGGTACAGGACTTTTTGTTCAGGTACAGGATCCCCTATCCAGGTACAGAATTCCTTTATCCAGGTATAGGACCCTTAATCCAGGTACAGGATCCCTTATCCAGCTCCAGGACTCCCTATCCAGGTACAGGACCCCTAATCGAGGTATAGAATCCCTTGTCCAGGTACAGGACCCCTCATGAAGCCCCAGGATCCCTTATCCAGGTACAGGACCCCTAATCCAGGTACAGAATCCCTTATCCAGCTCCATGACCCTTTATTCAGGTACAGGACTTTTTATTCAGGTACAGGATCCCTAATCCAGGTACAGGATCCCCTATACAGGTACAGGATCCCTAATCCAGGTACAGAATTCCTTAGCCTAGTACAGGATCCCTTATCCAGGTACAGGATCCCTCATGAAGCCCCAGGATCCTTATCCAGGTACAGGACCCCTAATCTAGATATAGGATCCCTTATCCAGGGACAGAATTCCCTTATCCAGGTACAGGATCCCTAATCCAGATACAGGATCCCTTATCCAGATACAGGATCCCTTATCCAGGTACAGAAATCCCTTATCCAGATATAGGATCCCTTATCCAGGTACAGAATTCCCTTATCCAGGTACAGGATCCCTAATCCAGGTATGGGATCCTTTATCCAGGTACAGGATCCCTTTCTGCATGTACAGGGCCCCTTATCCAGCTCCAGGTTCCCTTATCCAGCTCCAGAACCTCCTATCCAGGTACAGAACCCCTTATCCAGGTACAGAACCCCTTATCCAGGTACAGGGTACCTTACCCAGGTACAGGATCCCTTATCCAGGTACAGTGCTCTGGGAATTCAGGATGAGTGTCCAGCTACTTCCAAGCATCCAGCGCTGCTTCAGGCCTGGAGGCACTCACTGAGGTGTGTCCAGGCACACTCAGCTGCCCCTCAGGATCACAGAATTAAGTTGGAAAAGGCCTCTAAATTGAATTAACCCAGCACTGCCAAAGCCACCGCTAACCATGTCCCCAAGTGCTACATTTACATCCCTGGTAAATCCCTGCAGGGATGGGGCTCCARCACTGCCCTGGGCAGCTGTGCCTGGGCTGGAGAACCCTTTCCATGAAGAAATCGTTCCCAATATCCAATCTGAACCTCCCCTGGTGTGAYTTGAGACTATTTCCTCTTGTTCTTTCTACCTGAGAGAAGAGCCTGACCCCACCCTGACTCCAGCCTCTTGTCAGGGAGTTGTGCAGAGCCACAATTTCCCCTCTGAGCCTCTTTTTCTCCAGGCTGAGCCCCTTTCCCAGCTCCCTCAGCCTCTCCTGGTGCTCCAGCCCCTTCCCCAGCTCCATTCCCTTCCCTGGACTTGCTCCAGCCCCTCCAGGTCTCTCTTGTCACCAGATGTCCTTCATGCTGAGTTTCCTCCATCAGTCACACCTGAGCAAAGCCAAACTCAGAGAGGGGATCCAGGGAGGGGACAGAGGGATGGAGGGGAAGCACAACCCCGGAGAAGGGATGATCCCAGACACGGGAACCACCGCATCCCCTCCAGCCCTGCCTGGGTGGGATCTGCGGGCAGCGCTGACCTTTCCCCACCCCGGGGTGTGCTGAATAATTCCCGCTGGGCTGCTCTCCCCTGCAGGAATGACCAACCCCGAGGTGATCCGCAACCTGGAGCGGGGCTACCGCATGCCGTGCCCGGAGATGTGTCCCGGGGAGCTCTACAGCGTCATCCTCAAGTGCTGGCGCACCAACCCCGAGGAGCGYCCCACCTTCGAGTACCTGCAGTCGGTGCTCGAGGATTTCTACACCTCCACGGAGAAGCAGTACGAGCCCGAGCCGCAGCAGTGAGCCGCCGCCCCGCCAGCTGCGGGGGACAGCGCTGCGCGACAGCCACCRGTGGCTCGGTGCCGGCGTGTCCCTTCCTCCCGTCCGCACGTGGAGATGGGGAACGAGGAGGGACATGAAGGAGGAGGATGCTGCCGGCTCTGTGGCTGTCACAGAGACTGAAAAGAGGGCTGAGAGATGGCTCAGCCGCTTCSGAGGGCTGCGCCCGCTTCGCAGGCATCACCTCTGGCGCGAAGGACAGCAAACCCCTTCGTGACCCACTTGGATACAGAAAATCCCCTCAGCCCCGCACCTGCAGCCCCGGGAGGAGGGGTTTGTGGCCAGGGTGGCGGTGTGGGGGTGCAGAATCTCTGCCCCACCTCTGAGCGCACCGCTGGCAATCCCGCACCCTCTCCGTGCCGCGGGCAGCGCTGGGAGCGTGTCCTGTCCGCGCCTCCTCGGGCCGCACCGGCTCTGGAGCGTTCCTTCTGGGTGATGCCCTCGCTCTGCCTCAAATCAGTAATAAAAAACTGGATTCGACCCTTTTCCATGTCTTTATCCTGGTGCCAGGGTGAGAGCGAGATGCTGGATAGAAAGGGAGAAGCCGGGGGGCTCCCGGGCAATGTTGGGCGGTGCTGGGGTGGTACCCGGGTTTGGAAAAGGGGGATGTCCGAGGAGCGGGAGAGATGTTCGTGGTGTGGCCACGAGATGTCCCTCCTTCCCAGCGAATCTGGACACCACGTAGRAAGTAAAAACGCGTGAAATAAAATAATTCAGAAATAAAACCTCTCCCCGTTTGGCTGAGCCGTTGCCGCACAAGCTCCTGGTGCAACATCACGGCGGGTTCTGCTCCGAACCCAGCGCCGGGAGGGTTCAAATCCATTCCCCTGGTTTTTGCTGAATCTCCGACCTCAGGGAATGCCCACGAAAGGCCGCAGGTTGGTCTCCAATCGGGAGTTTCACCGGGCTGGGGAGTGGAGAGCAAAGAATAAGGMGCAGATGGCACATGGGAGGGGTGTRARGRCCGCAGGAGTGAGCACTGGGATGGGACCCGGGGGGCTCTCAGAATCGTCTCTTCCGGGTGATTTTTTCTGCTGTTTCCTTCTCCATGAAGTAGATTTTGTGTCCAGCTGTAGGGGGTGCATTTCACAGAGGAACAGGGATGCTACGGGAAAGAAACAGCAGAGATGAGAAACCTCCAGGAAAGCTTTTAAGATTCAAAAGGAGGGTTAAAAGAAAGATAAGGGCAGACTTTTTATCAGGATCTGTTGTGATAGAACAAGAGGTGATGTTTTTAAACTAAAACAGGGTAGATTTAGACCAGATATAAGGAAGATTTTTTTTTTTTTTTTTTTTTTTTTCAATGAGGTTGTAAAACACTGGTACAGGGCGCCCAGAGAAGCTGTGGCTGACCCTGGATCCCTGGAAGTGTTCAGGGACAGGCTGGATGGGGTTTGATGCCACCTGGGATAGTGGAAGGTGTCTGGGATGATCTCTAAGGCCCCATCCAACCCAAGCCATTCCATGATTCCATGTCCTGTGTGTCAGAAAAAAACCATCCAACCAACCCCAAAACATGACACAGAATTAACTTCTTCATGCCGCTGCTGTACAAGAGCCTGGGAGGAAAAGGAGCAGGGAAATTCCAAAAAAAATTGTAGGGACAGATCAGTGCCAGGCTTTGATCTCCAGCACCATCCTGCCCCT